TGTGAAAGTGTTTGTGATTGTGTTTGTGGTCTTGGTTGTATAGCAGGATGTATTGGTCTGGGGAATGATTGTGTTGAAGTTGACGGAGTTTTTGCCTGAGACGATTGTTGTGTGTGAGTTGCAGGCAAAGGCTGTTGTAACGGCATCTGTATAACTGATGGTGGTGATTGTGTTAAGCTTTGCGCACTTGATTGCGTTTGCTGTTGTGCTGGAGATTGGAGCGATCCCAATTGTGTTGGTTGCTGGATTTGAAAATTTCCAACCTGAATATCTGGGTTCGGCATTTCTTTTTCGTATACGGCCTCATAAATTTTAGTATCGTAAAAAGTGTGTGGTCCTATAGTAATATGACATTTTCCTAGTAATGAAACAATCGCATTTGGATTTGTATATTCCGGTAATTTGGGTTGATAAATAACTTCTTGTTTGCTAGAAAACTTTTTTAAAATAGAACTTGTCCAAGCTTGTCGAGATTGAGTCAAAGAGAGTAGAAGGATGCCACTACAAATAAAATTTGGTTTAAAAGCTAATTTATGTTAACTATTTAAGCGCAACAACTTATTTACCTGTCTCTATAGTTATGCATCGACGCCATCTCTTCTTCAGTTTGAGGTCGACTATATTTTGGAAGCGTTAAACCCTTCAGTGACTCGGCCCTCCTTCTACCACTCATATTGAATAAAGTTTGCGTGGAAATCTGAAAGGTGACAGTGACAAGCGAAATCTAAACAACAAATCTAAAAATAATATGCTCTAATATGCACACGCAATTTCTGCGCCGCGTGTGGTTACGACAGATTCAAACAGCCACACAAATTTATTTGTAATCAATATCGATATGTAAATTCAAAAATATCGCTGTCTTTATACTTTTTTTTCCTTTAATAAACGAGGTAGATTTTTTTTTTTTTAGTGCAGCCAGGCCTCTATAATAGGGACTTCAAATGATATGAAATGAGGGGGCAGATTATACGGCTTAAGAACCCCGAAAGTTTTTTAATACCGATATTAATTTTGTTTTATAAAAGTTTATGGTTCTAACAAAGTTATATATGAACTTTAATCTCAGTAACCTTTTTTATTCAAATTTTGTAACTAATAAAATTTGTCTATAGTATTTATTATAAATGCACCTTTGGTGGTTTTGCACCTATCATACAGTATGTTTGTTTTTTAGATTTTTTAAAATTTGAATATAAAAATTTTTAATACAAAATTTTCATGTTAGTTTTGTATTTTACAATAGAGTTAGATTAGGGTTTGGGAAGGATTTTTAGGATGTTTTTTACTTAGAACATCTTGTACTGATTAATTAGCTATTGTAGTTTTTGAGATAATATATTGTAGTATAGAAAATTGGCCTTGTTAACTATACTACTTGACTTAATATAAAGAGTGTAAGAATATTGTATATATATACAAAAAGTAAAATTAAAGAAAACTCAAATAACTCAAAATATAGAATATAAAATATAGGAAATAAGAAAGAATATTCAAAAAAATATAATAAAAATAAGATAAAAACTTAAAAAAAACTCAATAAAAATATAAAAACTTAATAAAAAAAGCATACTGTTACAATGCTATAACCTTCTTAGTATAAATATAGCAAAGTAATAAGGTTACCCGGTACAATGATATACTTTATGAATATACACAGGGTGGATGTGAAGTGTATACTTTAACTTCATAGCAGAAGGCAAATAGTTCGAGATAATAACAGTTTATAGATAATAATATTTATTAATAATAAATTCACAGTAATAACCTTGTCTGTAGGAATTACCCTAGAAAGGGAATATTACACTTTACAAGTAGAAAAAAGTAAAGGGGTGGGGCTAGATTCTATGAAAAGGTAGTAAACTCTAACTTGGGTAGAAAAGGCAAAGACTTCCTTTTTATAACTTTTCTACAGATAGAAGTGTAATGGTATTATTATAGAATAGATTTTTAGTATTAGCTTCTTGAATGTATAAATATTAGTATAATTATTATTTTATCGTATTGTTA